GAGGAAACGGAACAGGTGTGTGTTGAAGTTCAACATTCGGAAAGCTACTGTTTTGCCTCAGATTGCAATCCCCAATGTCGCGTTTATAGTTCGCGATTTGAGCGATGCGGCGGGAGAGGTTGTCGCGCGACTCGCGCGATTTTGCAGAAGAGTGCGCGACATCAGAAATGAATAGATGAGACAATTTTCGGATTGGTGCTAGATCATGATCACTGCTGCGATTAAAAGTGATGCGCTAGTTGTCATTCCCCTCAGATTTCGAATAGAAGCTAGCCTCGATCATTTCTTCGCGACGTGAAGTCGCGCAAGACCCCGCACCTGTGCGCGACGTCGCGCGATGACCCCGTATACCTGAATGACAATGAGCCTGATCAGTACATTAGGTCATCATGCCCTAGAAACACTGCGAGTGTTCAGCGGCAAGCTTTGGTACAGGACATGTCCTGATACGAATACCCCCTCCTCTCATGGCATTTCTGCCACTTCCCATCGACAAGTCGAGCCAGTGTAAAAATCTTGTGAAGCCACGATACCGGCTGAAGTTTGTAAAGTCACCCGTCAGCTCTTGTAAGGAGTACCTGTCAAATCTGCCATGAAATAGTGGTTGCTCGACGAGCTTGCTCCAGCTACGAGAGTTTACAGGCTTCATAAAAGTGCGGCTTGTAAAGCAGGAACTGGGAAGCAGTGAAAGTGCAACCGTCGTCGAACTAAACACGACCTCCCCCCTCCTTCCGCGTCGCCCATTCTACCTATTATCTCCTGAATTTCCCCAACTTCCTACAGCCTTTCCGCTGTTCTCAGTTCCTTCATCCACTTCAAAAGACTGCCGTCGAGGGTGAAGGGGGAGTATGGTGCACTTCAAATAGAAATAACGGAGACAAATGAGTAACAACCGAAAACATTTTTTCCAAAGGCAATTCCGACCTCCCCTCGCCTTACGCCCTAAGGGGGGGGGGGTCTTACTTGGTTTATTATCATCGTGAGATTCTCTGGAAAATTATCAAAAGTAAGCTCAATGATAACCTCTAAAGCTGCTTCGTTTCCAGATACTCGAACACAATGAGGTTTGCCGATCGGGTCTTGCACGAATGAGCATTCGGACTGGAGATATCAGGAAGTAAGTGTCGCCTAAAATTGAGATTTATTATCAAAGAGAATTAACTCCATTCATTTCATCAATCTTGATCATTCTGTATGTGCTAATGATGTATGAAGATGTACTGCAGTGGTTGCTGCGGATGCTGAGGCATGTCAGAGGTAAGAGCTGGGTCTGGTGCGGCCAGGACCCGTTTCCCACCTTTCGAGGAAACTGGCGGGCGAACACAACTGGTGGAAAACGGACTGGCGTCGCATCAAACTTACTCCCTTCCCCCTTGAGACGCCCCAGCATCCGCAGCGACTAAATAATTGTTCAGATGTCATATCTTAGAAAATACCAAGGAGAGACTTTTCAGAGGTATCCAGCTGGCGCGTGACTTGCATGGACGAGTGGTGAAGAGAGATTGTGCGATCATACTTGAACAACTCAAGGTATTACAATGAAAACAACAAGGGTTTCGTTTGGTTGCGATGTCCTATGTACTGTATCTAACCACATCTTCCTCCGAAGCCCTTAACTTTAGCAATACGGTGAGGCAGCCGATCTGTACGAGCTTGGTCAATTCTATGATCGCGCAGCAGCTGTGCTGCATGAAGGCAAAAGCTTGGTGGGTACTGAACAAATTTAGGTTTCCGCGTTTCTTAATCCTGTCAGCGCATTCTCACCGAAACAGAATTTTTTAGGGGAAAGGTTGGCGAACTTCTACCAAAGGTTCGATCTCCAAAAATTCATGCACAGTACGGAAAGATAATGGAGGCCGAGAAGCGCTACAAGGAAGCGGCCGTGGTGAGAACATTCTCTTCTTTCAGAACCTAATGTACAATTTGGACATGTTTTCATGAAGCTACCTTAAGTCAGAAGCGTGATTTCTGCACACAAAAATAGAACGTGAAGATTGGTCTGTGATTTGGCGGCCTCTTAAAAGTCAACTGCAAAAGTTGTTGTTCGCCGCGGACGAGGGGTGTGAGATTAGACAAGGGAAGGATACCAACTCGTCATGGCCATTCAGAATGAGATGTATACCACTAGAAGCGTCTCCGGACGCTGATGTCAGATCTGACTTCCAAATCTGCTAAACGATTCTGGGTGAGAAGTTACGGACCTTTTTTGCTACCGTGCTTAACCATTGCGGTGGGCCCCCTGCCCATGCTTTGCGCTTGTGAACCCCTCGTGACAAGTCCGTCGTCGTGGCTCGATGGCGCAGCAGGTAAGTGGATGGTATCATAGTTGTGGGACGGAGGTTCGGATCCTTGATGCATTTCCTAGTTTTTGCTTTTTCTTCAAACGTATGCTAAGAAAGTAGTTTTGCGTACCTGTCCGACCACCAAGACCCCTCCTTGCTCTTTATTAGCCCCACCAAACGTTTCGGTGGAAAGTGACACTTATTTACCTAAAAAAAAAACTGCAAAACTACTTCCAAGTGTATTAGCATTACGTTCCGAAGAAAAAGCAAAAACTAGGAATGCATCAAGGACCCGAACCTCCGTCCCACAACTATGAGTCCATCCACTTACCTGCTGCGCCATCGAGCCACGGCGACAGTTGTGTCACGAGGGGTTCACAAGCGCAAAGCATGGGCAGGGGGCTCCACCGCAATGGTTAAGCACGGTACCAAAAAAGGTCCGTAACTTCTCACCCAGAATCGTTTAGCAGATTTGGAAGTCAGATCTGACATCAGCGTCCGGAGACGCTTCTAGTGGTATACATCTCATTCTGAATGGCCATGACGAGTTGGTATCCTTCCCTTGTGAGTTTGAGTTTGTTGCCGCCAGCCCATTCTCCAGCGTCGCTGAGTATCTTCGAAAACTGGTGAAAACGACTGATACGAAGGAACAGTCTTGTCGAAAGCCGATTAAAAAAAAGAGGGGGCGCCGCATTAAACCCATCCCTTCTTGATTTGGCGTGGCGCTAGCGTGTTATCCACCACTGGAGGAAGCTGTCAGGCAATCGCAAATGGTATAGGGTAAGTTGGGGCTACGTGAAACCCAGCCTTCTGAGATGCCCCAGCGTTCGCAGCGAACAAAACTCCGGTTCGTCATTCTGAAGGCAGTGCAGGTGCGAAACCATCCACGCTGTTATCAACATGCTCTTTGAAGTCTAGTCTCAGCAATACAGTGTGACTTATATGCAGGCATACCGAAACGCTCGAGATTACGACAATCTGGTTCGGATGCTTTTGGACCATCTGAACATGGCCGAAGAGGCGGTGAAAGTCGTTCGAGAAAGTCGAAGTGTTGAAGGAGCGAAACTGGTTGCGAAGTATGTGGTTTTCACAATCTTCAATTCTTCCTTTCTTGTATATCACTTCCTCCCATTCGGAGTGGACTTTCAGGTTCTTCTCCCAACTGGGTGACCACGCATCTGCTATCCGTTTCTTAGTGTTGAGTAACTGCCATCAGGTAAGTTCTTCACTTCATTTATTCAGTACTGTGCTTCATTTGCGCTTTTTCCCCCACATTCACAAGTGGTGTTCAAGGTTACCGACTCTCTTATCACCTTTTGAAGACCTCATTTCCTTTTATCATTAATACTCGACCGAGTTGCCTGTACCGTACTGTACCAGGACTTTCACTAGTCATGGCATCAGCCAATTAGCTACCCTGTTCATGCCGTTGGAAGGCAATTTTACAAATTACCCCCCCCCCCTCAACCCTTCTCAAATTTTCCTATTCTGGTACCCCCCCTCTCCTCTTCCCCCATCCCATCTACCATGTTTCCCTAGACTTACACAACTTCTCAGCTTCCCCCCCCAGTTTTTTCCCCCAAAATTTCTCCAGTTCTTCCTTTTTTTATCGAGGAACTGCCGCGAGGGTGGGGTGAAGTGGGAGAGGAAAGGGGGATATAGAGTGCACAGGAAACGGGAAACACCTAGAAAAATCAACAGCAGGGAACAGTTCCACAAATACAAGAAGACTCCCTCTCTCTGGGACCAAACCCCCTCACTCGGGATCCCTACCCTACGACGTGTCCTGTCCTGAAGACACCTTGATGGAAAACCTTCTTTTCTCGATCTCTCAAAGCTTCTATAATCAACCCATCATTTTTCAAAAATCACCTTCCATTTTTCTGAATATCATTGGGCACTACTTGGTCTGGGAGAAAGGGCATTTTGCTATTCTCCTTACAAAGTTTGTTCCACATCGCACATTCACAAGGGCGTACTAAAGGTCTTACCAAAAAAGAGAGTGAAGAAATCAGCAAACTGTCAAGATGCTTCTCCAACCAGAATACTACCCCACAGAAAAATCATGTAACTGGGCCGTCCGGCCAACAAAGAATACCGATGACATACCATGCCAGTAGAAGGGTCCATTATAATGCTTCAAAAAACAATACTAAAAGTTGTAGGTTCTGTTCCAGGAAGCATTTCAACTTGCCGAAACGACAGACCACATGGCGGAGTATGCGGACTCCGTGGAGGCTGACGGCGCTACCCAAGATCAAATGGCTCAACTTGCCGAGCATTTCGCTGGAGTTGGAGATGCCCATAACGCTGGACGGTTCTATCTACGTGCAGGACACTATCGAGCTGTGAGTTTTACTAAAGTAGAAAGGCCTCTCTGACTGGACCTTCCGAATTAGTTCTATGAAATAATTAATTTTACGATTGAAGGCACTAGAGTATCTTATGGCATGTGGTGAGAACCATGAGTCACTCGTGTTGGCTATCGAATGCGTGGCAGCTGCTGGTGACAATAAGCTAACGGCCAGACTTACCGACTATCTCATGGGCGAGGTCGACGATATACCGAAGGTAAGGAAGTTCAACATCCTAACGTCCTCCTGGCAGTATTGTCATGATCAGATAACTGAATGACTTTTCGTCCCTATTTCTGCAGTATTTCAATGCAAAGAGCGCAGAAGGAGCTGTTCGGCTTGGGAGGGGGAGGGGGCTCACATCTTGGTGACAGCTGTAGACTCTTGCCAAGTGTAAACGATGCCCCTGCTGTTGCACAGCTTGACAAGAATTCATAGGTCTCCATACCAGGCAGTTATGGTGATGGACGCGAACCAGTAGAATGACCCTACCAAGCCGAACTGCGCCCACATACTCGACATCGGGGCTGTTGGCCATGTGTGCTTACCCAAAGGTAAAGGTATGTATCGGCCAAACCGATATTGTTGGTAAGTAGAGAATGTGGGTCAAAAGGGGACACGCTGCACCGCCGCGCGGCATATTATGACTAATGCCCGTCGCACACCCGGCAAGAATGGTTTATCGCACCTCCGCGCGCGATCTCGCATGTCGCGTGACTCGAACTCCCACTTATCGCTATTAAGCGGTTTATCTGGAAGGGTACCTTGGAAAACACTGCTTCGTCAATCCTATTCAACTACTCAGAAATCCCAGTTCAGTCGTTAGAATCAATCAAAAGCTTGTCGAATTGAAATCGCCGCAATCAGTCGGGCAGGCGTAGGGGCGGGGGGCAGGCTGTGGGGGGGGGACAGTGACAGTGAGTCTGCATCCGGCTAGCTTCACTACCGATAGAGATCGTTCATGATTGATTCGCGAACAAAACAATGAGAGCTAGAAAACGCCGCGGGTGGGTCCATCCGATGCCTCTTGACACGCCCCGACTGATTGCAGCAATTTCAACTGCAGCTATTATTTTACACTTCCGATGAGCAAGACCTGACTGGATCAACAGCCCAATTTAAATCTTTGAACTGTTGTGGTGTGAGACTGTAAGCGATAGTTTTTAAGGATGCCAAATATCTATTCCGACTATATGTCGCCCTTGGAATGACTAGAGAGGCTGCAACGACGGCAGTGGTGATCGCACGTCAAGAACAGGAACGTGGATCATACACAGTCGCACGAAATGTCCTTTTGGCTATGTATCAGGTACGATTTCAAAATGTCAATCCGCTGCAGACGCTAGGGCATGCCAGCAGAGGGGGGGGGTTGGAGCGTTAGAGTTTTGGCGTAGCGCCAGAACGTTTTCCACCAATAGCTCGCCCACTTCAACGTTTGGTGGTGAACTGGCTGGCGCTGCTCCAAACACACCCCTGAAACGCCCCCGCGTCAGCAGCGAAAACGACTGGAAACATGTGCGCAGGCCAAAACCACCAGGTCGTTACATCATTTCAGGAGCTGGTAGAGAAACAGATCAAAGTTCCTTATGATATGCAGAATAGCTTAATGATAATACACTCCTATCTGATTGTTAAGGTAAGAGTTACCTTGACCATTTCTCAAGATCTGATACTAAATAAATACCCTTTCGAAGCAGTTTCTTATTTTTTTCTTATTTTTTTGCCTCAAAATTCTTTGTTTCAAGAGCTTGTTGAGAAGAAACGAAACCCTGAGGGCAGCTAGAATGCTGATTCGTACAACGGCCAACATCAGTCGATTTCCAGCGCGTGAGTTATTAGTTTCCAAAAATATATCACAATTTTTTTCATACCCCCACTATTTACCTCTAATGAATCCCACTACTCTTAAATGAGAGCTAGACTTTAGTCGAAATTTGGGCGCAGTTCGGCGACGGGGGGGCATTTTGCTTCCCATCGATGTGTCGACCCATCTAGATAGCCTTTTCTTGAGTTGACACGTTTTACCATGGTGGCTAGACGAGCTTGCTCCAGCTTCACAAGAGTTCACAAGTTTCACCAGAGTGAGACTTGTAAACCGGAAGTAGTGAAGCAGTGAAAGTGCAAAATGCCCCCCCCCCGTCGCCGAACTGCGCCTGATCAGCTGACACCTGTGAAAACATCCTAGAGATCGTGTATAAGCTGGCAAAAAAGTTCGAGAAGATGTGATTATTGTTTTGTTCTAGATGTGGTACCTATTCTAACGTCAGCAGTTG